ATCTGTGATGTAATGGTCAGCATACTCGCCTCGCAAGAGAGTGGACCCGCGTTCGATTCCTGGGCAGTGTGAAACTATGGCCATTTTTTTTTTTACGCCATTTGCCTGTCGACTCAGAAGTAACTGGGAACCTGGATGCTAATCAATTTGCGGATCTCGTTCTGGGGTAATGTTTAGCCAGTGCAGTTGGCGAGTTGTCCGGTCTTCTCGGACTACTCCTTGACACTGGGTCATGTAACTCGTTAACTTAGGGTGTGGTTGTTATGTTGGCCCTAGTGCCAGCCATCGTCGTACACGAGGGTCAACCATTATTGTTAGGTCACTAAATATGTTATAAGTATATACTGCAGTAAGTATATAATATAAAACATGGAAATATATATATTTAGTTTCCGGGTTTATTTAGTTATTTATTACTTGCTCTTATTACTGGTATTTGTGTTCCTCTCATCTGTATAGTTTAAGCCTTTACTATTGTTTTGAGTAACTTTAGATTTAATTGTTTTCTCCCAGATTTACTTCACATTTATATTTTTTAGAATATTGGTCTATTAAACAATTCATTAAGGAGAGGATATACTTGCATGAGCAGATATTACATGCTTTTATTAAGGCTACTGCTACTAGTAACGATATTCTTAGTAGTTATTGTTTCCTCTTCTCAAGTGATTTTTTCTTGGCGGGTATCCCTGTAATATACTGGTTTGAGGAGGATATCAGTCGAGCACTGACCCTTCGCAGCTTAGGCCCGAAAGGTTATCGCTACTTGTTGATAAAAGTAAATTTCCTTTCCTGTCTATCAGTATACTGTATCGTTGGCTTTGTAAGCTCACTGTGGAACCAGGGGTGTTGCATGCAGTTCTAAAACTGTTGTACCATAAATGTATGTCTATGGATGACTGTGTTTTTTCTTTTGATGAAACAAGTGTCAGTGAAGGTAACCCTTGCCATGTGAGTTCAAAACACATGTCACATCACCTCACACCTGGAGGCAAAGGCAGCACCTGTGATCACCTTCCCTAATTATACTAAGATAACAAAGTATAGAATGTAGAACCATAAAATGTTCTGTTTATAAGGGGTGAGAGGGAGGCAAAGCTCCACCCACCTGCGCATTGGTTGACCTCCTCTTCTATAGACCTTGGTTTACTTCAGGAAGGTCTTTGTTATTGCGGGATGCAGAGGGCAGCTCCAGACGCGGTTGATTGCTCGTGCTGGCGCCCCTGTGAATATTATGGATCAACTAACGATTAGACACCTCTATTTTTATTTCACCTGTAACCTAACCTAATGAAACCGGCCTAGATAGCGTTAGTGTATTTAATGATTAGGTAAAATAAGCTGGTGGTGGTGTCTAATCTTCAGGTGATGTTTTGGTGGAGGTTAAGGGGAGCTTGATGACCTTAGCCCCTTCTGAGACACTGATACTACCTCCCTCCCCACACTAACTGTCCACTTGTGAGTACCTTCAGGGGAGTGTCTTCTTACTCTCCTGTCTTTCTGATGGTGTACTGTCTCTGTGTACTCTCTTGTGTTCCGTCTTGTATACTGTCTGTATACCGTCTTTGTGTACTGTCTGTGTTCCGTCTTTGTGTACTGTCTGTGTTCCGTCGTTTGTGTATCGTGTACCGTCTTTTGTGTACCGTGTCAGTGTACCATCCTCACTGACCTTCAATTTCTTACTAACCGTAATGTACTCAGTAGATGGGTCAAGGTAAGGAACACTAGGTGATCCGTCCCTCCCTCCCTCCCTCTATTCCTCCTAACATACTACCTCACCTTCCCTCCCCCCCCTCCCTCTTAACACACTACCTCATTCCTCCTTCCTTCCCTTCACCCTCCGAACATACATTACTTCACCTTCCCTCCCCCCCTCCCTCTTAACACACTACCTCACCCTCCCTCCCTCCCTCACCTACACAACGACACTTAAACCCGCCTATAAGACGCCCAGGCTGGACTCGGGGACAAATTGCGTCTTAGTTGGTTAATTTGTAAACATTATTCGTGCTGGTGTGACACTTCCACCCCGGGATTTTTGTTGTTAGATGATTTTACTTAATTTCTCTATTTCTTTTCTATAACTTTAGTTGTTTATATTCAATTTCTTATTGATTTGTATATGTTTCTTAATATATGTACATTTTTAAGTCTCCATAAGACACTTAACCTGATGATATTTAGGCTCTCATGAATATTAGGAACCTCAACTTATTTCACCTGATGATTAAACACTCTAGTGGTAACTGCAAAACCAGAATGTTATGTCTAATTTCAGTAAATTATATTAACCAATTTGAAATAGTGACCCTATTTTATATACTTAGAACAAGCTCCTAATATTACCAGATGTATACAAGAGAGGTCAGCCGCTAATCTTACATTTACTAAGCTAATGTACTGACTAAGACTGTTGTAGTTACACCTACCCTTATCACTACCATGGAAACCATAATATGTTACAGGTTATGTTTAAACAATCGTTGTGTTCGCAGAGTGATGTTACTGCTGGTAGTAAACTCACAAAGCTGCTCCTGGTCAGGGTGAAAAAAGTTTTCCCCGGGAGTGACCGTAACAATGTCATGCATAGAGCTGATGTCTCACAAAGTTTAGCTCATTTTTGTTTACTTTAGTCTAAGTTATAAGAAGTGGGTTTGATAGGTTTTAGCAGCATAATCATCTCAATCATATTTTTCTACGTCCATGACTTACCATAAGTGACAAACATGCATATTAATTATCAAAAATTTGTTTAGTTTCGCCTTAAGTTTATATTAATTGAATCTGGTAGACCAGGTATGGGAGCCTGTCACAGGGAGATTATTTTATTCTAAAGAAGTGTTGTTTTAGGACCACTGATAATTTCAAAATCTAATATTGCTTTGTTCTACGGTTACCTGTGACACCAAGGACCGAGACTTCAATGCCCAAGACGCACCAAGAAAGGGTTAAGGTAAGTGCAAGTTTACCGGTTTAGCTTAAATGATTAACGTAACATTACAGTGTGTTGCAGTTTTAGAATATTCACATCTAAAATAATCGGTAATAAAATGTTAAGATTGATATATTATTGAATTTGAATTTATATAAAGTAATGCAGGTCCATAAACCACATATTTGTGATTTGTTGACCCGTGAGCCTTGATGTGTCAGGGGAGGACACTAGATGTTCTCTGCCTGCCATACTGTACTGTACTAACACCTGCCCCGCCAGTGCTGGAAACGTATAACGGTGCCAACTTCAGGTAGTGAGACACACCAAGGCTTGTACAGTACAACATTCAGCTTAGGGTTCAGTTCTACTAACACACATGTTTTCAGGGTAGATCCTAGTGTCTGTGTTGTGTTGTAGTCGACACAGATGAGTAGTATTTTTATGTCACTTCACCTCAAGATACAAAGAAGACAAAGTGAAGAAACAATCAGAAAGTTTGATGGTGGAAGAAAAAAGACTGAAGCTGGTGACGTCAACACTGCTGAGAATATTACATAAGGTAAACTATTATAATTATTATTTGTCTTTGTTTACGTAACATAAGGTTGAGGCATGTTTACTTAATTTGATTCTGAACAGTTATGCGTGTCAACCACCTTCTAAGTTTTCACATTAACATAAATAATTAACATAAATATTCACTCCCACTACCACCATCACCCACCTTAACTACCACCACCATCACCCACTTTAACTACCACCATTGCCACCAACATCATCACACACCTTAACTGTCACCATCACCACCAACATCATCACACACCTTAACTATCGCCATCACCACCAACATCATCATACACCTTAACTACCACCACTAACACACACCTTAACTACCACCACTATCACACACCTTAACTACCACCATCACCACCAGCACACACCTAAACTACCACCATCACCATCCATACTAAAACACCAATATACCAAGTGAACCAGGGAAATAAAATTGTGATTCGTGTGGGAACCCTGATTAAGTTACTGAAGATTAGGTTAGGTTATCAATGAGGTAGTTAGCGTTCAGTTAGGGTATTTAATGCTTACATGACCCGATTATTTGATCAACAGTTTATTGAAGTTAATACGATTTTCGTTTGGTTGAATTCCTGTGTTTAAGTTTGTTATATATTCCAGCCTTTAACTCTTGTGTGCTATACTTTCCAGCCTTTACCTCTTGTGTGCTATACCTTCCAGCCTTTACCTCTTGTGTGCTATACCTTCCAGCCTTTACCTCTTGTGTGCTATACCTTCCAGCCTTTACCTCTTGTGTGCTATACCTTCCAGCCTTTACCTCTTGTGTGCTATACCTTCCAGCCTTAACCTCTTGTGTGCTATACCTTCCAGCCTTTTTTACCCTCCTTGTGTGCTATATAATTTTCCAGCCTTTACCTCCTGTACACAGGACTCCTTCCCAGCCTTTACTCCCTCTTGTGCATGGTACCTTCTTGGTGCCTTTACCTCTGTGCTGGCACTCTGTTTCCTTACCCTCTTGTGTGCTATACCCTTCCAGCCTTTAACCTTGTGTGCTTACACTCCAGCCTTTACCTCTGTGTGCTATACCTCCAGCCTTAACTCTTGTGTGCTATACCTTCCAGCCTTTACCTCTTGTGTGCTATACCTTCCAGCCTTACCTCTTGTGGCTATACCTTTCCAGCCTTTTACCTCTTGTGTATATACCTTCCAGCCTTTTACCTCTTCAGGTGTTATACCTTCCAGCCTCACTTGTGTGCTATACCTTCCAGCCTTTACCTCTTGTGCTCTCTAATAAGTCACATCCACACCAGAAAATTAATCGGACCCGAACGTTTATGGCTGTTGAGATTAAATGCCACAAGGTTAACATCAGGAGTGGCCCGAGCATTTAAACCATGATTGACCGGAGCAATTAAACCGGGAGTCACCGAGCAATTAACCGGGAGTCAGCATTGAAACCAGGGAGTGGTCAAGATTTAAACCAGAAGTGGCTGGAGCATTGAAACCAGGAGTGGTTGGAGCATTTAAACCAAGGATGACCGGAGCATTGAAACTAGGAGTGGCCGGAGCATTTAAACCAGGAGTGGCCGGAGCATTGAAACCAGAAGTGGCCGGAGCATTGAAACCAGGAGTGGCTGGAGCATTGAAACCAGGAGTGGCTGGAGCATTGAAACCAGGAGTGGCCGGAGCATTGAAACCGAGAGTGACTGGAGCATTAAAACCAGGAGTGACCGGAGCATTGAAACTAGGAGTGGCCGGAGCATTTAAACCCGGAGTGGCCGGAGTATTGAAACCGGGAGCGGCCGAAGCATTGAAACCGGGAGCGGCCGGAGCATTGAAACCGGGAGAGCCCAGAGCATTGCATGAGTTTATCGTAATGTACTACTCAGATGTATCGGGTATGCCTTAATTGAACCGCTGTTGCAACTGATCTTGAAGAGAGTCGTTACGAATGAAATCAGTTCAGTGGATTGCAATTTAGTGTATTCATGTAACAAATGATGGTCATTTTTAACGGAGTGTGGTGCTGAGAGAGAGAGAGAGAGAGAGAGAGAGAGAGAGAGAGAGAGAGAGATATGAATCTTAAAACAAAATGTTAGGTTATAAAACTTTTAATGTAGATGATAAACTCAGGTCAACTAATGAAATGATAGATCAGATGTGGTAAGTGATTTTAGGTAATGACGCCATACCACAGGTCAAACTCTAAGTGAATTATAGATAATCATATGACATCAACTGACAGTAATGTTGGGTCATGTAATGTAAATATGATATAGGATATTACAGTACATTCAGAGGGTTGGTTAAATAATATCATGAGGGACGGTAAAGAATTTTGTAAATGGATATTTATTATTATTATTATTATTATTATTATTATTATTATTATTATTATTATTGTTATCTCATCAGGTGGTTAGTTAGTTTCCTTTTGTGCAATGTTGGCAGGTACTGAGGTTGCAATACGAGCTCTTGACTGTACCTGAACATTGTGTTAGTGTTGGTCTAGCCCGTTGTTGGTGCTGTCACAACATTCGCTTCTACATTATTACACGAACACATAACTTCCCCTCTGAAGATGTTGGTGCCGGTAGTTTCCTTGACTCCGAAGACAAGTGGGACGGCCATCAGCTACTCCAGATATGTAGTCGTGAATAAATTTCCGTTAAACGTGTTCGAAACTCCACCAAACCCAAATGATATAGACAGGTATAGACTAGCAGTTTAGAGACTCGTTCCCAGTAGTTTGGAGACTCGTTTCAAGCAGTTCAGAGACTTGTTCCCAGCAGTTTGGAGACTCGTTCCAAGCAGTTCAGAGACTTGTTCCCAGTAGTTCAGAGACTTGTTCCCAGTAGCTTGGAGACTCGTTCCAAGCAGTTTAGAGACTCGTTCCCAGCAGTTCAGAGACTCGTTCCAAGCAGTTCAGAGACTCGTTTCCAGCAGTTCAGAGACTTGTTCCCAGTAGTTTGGAGACTTGTTCCCAGTAGTTTGGAGACTCGTTCCCAGCAGTTCAGAGACTCGTTCCCAGCAATTCAGAGGCTCGTTCCTAGCATTTCGGAGACTCGTTCCCAGCAGTTCACATATCGTGAACGAGTTACTGACGTATAGACATATGCTACACTACATGAAGACCAATCAGAAAATATTCAGAGGGACCGCATCTCAATGTACGGTAATCAAAATAAATAAGTTCCCCCCTCTGCCTGGGGAGCTCAGCGGCCCAGCGGGTTACATCACCGCCAGAATTAAAATATCCATGACAAATAGGCCATAAAGTGAGGCATAAACTCCGGCGCCACAACAACAGAGATCATGACCCCCTGGCCTGTTGGGATAACAAGGGTGACCAACCTTACCGAGGACTCTCACGGCTTACCACTATCAAGGCTTACCAACCTTGCCTGTAGCTCTCTGGTATTTTGTTGTTTTGTTGGGTGGATTATAGGGGAGAGAGAGAGAGAGAGAGAGAGAGAGAGAGAGAGAGAGAGGAAGTAATAGTAAGAACAGCCTATAGGTAACGAGGCTACAGGAGTGAAGGAGGAAAGACGGTGGATCATTCACTGCCATCATCCGTCTTAGTATCCCAGGATGATCATCTCGCCATCTGCTGCTGTGTGTGTGTGTGTGTGTGTGTGTGTGTGTGTTCTCTTTATGTGTGCACATTACAGGAATACACCCGCGTTTACATTTTTACAGGCAAGAAACAAATATTGTGATATAAGAGATGGAAAACAAGCATCAAAACACCCAGTTGGAAAAACAAAAGAGTTAGATGGGCAGAAATTTTTGTGTTGTTGAAAATCAAGTCATTTTCCGGCAGATGTTTGAAAAAATCCTCTAAATTCGGAGCAAAAACAATTTTGCCCATTTTTCAAGTGGCTTCCCCCAGCGTCCTCCCTCCTGGACAATTAAAATTGGAAATTGGTGTAATTTGTGTGTTGGCTCACCCGAGACTTCACTGACGGCATCCCCTGACGTCACAGAGGGGCTGCTGACGCCATGAACGAGTTACTGACGTCACAGAGGGGCTGCTGACGCCATGAACGAGTTACTGACGTCATAGAGGGACTGCTTACGACATGCACGGGTTATTGACGTCATAGAAGGACTGCTGAGGCCATGAGCGGGTTATTGACGTCATAGAGGGGGGTGTTGAAGCCATGAAGGGGTTGCTGAGAATAATAATGCTGACGTCATAATTAATGACGTCACATAATTTGGTGACGTAACGAGGACAGTGATGTCATAGGTTGGCTTCTGAGATGACATTCGCCGCAGGGATTCAATTATTCTACTTTTTCAACATATTTTGGAAAGTCATATCTGAAAACAGTGATCGATAAATTTCTGAATTTTTCGTTATCATGGCTGGAGAGTTGCAGTTATACCGAGTCATTAATTTCCTATTGGGTGCTCCAGCGGCAGAGGTCATGTGTATTAGTTGGTCTATACACCCGACTGAGGCAGCAGCTTCAACACACAACCTTGGCAATATTGTAGTGAGGTATTACGGCGTATCTTTTTTTTTTATGAGAGACTATAAAACCTCTCTCGAAAATAAAAAAAAATTATAATATATAGAAGCGAGCCAGACGTACGGTGTTTTTAATCGAGGGTCAGCCGTGTTATTAACTCGAACAGTCATGAAGCAGGAATTTGGTGCAGGTTAATTACACAGTCAGGAGAATGTTTCTGTCCTGACCTGAAATTGAAATTAAAGTGTAAAGTTGTAATTTTGAGGTGCAAACATATTTCCTAATTTTACCTATGTGGACAGTTGGGAATGTTAGGACTCTGTGTGTGTGTGTGTGTGTGTGTGTGTGTGTGTGTGTGTGTGTGTGTGTGTGTGTAAATTCGAGTACATATGAACTATAGAAGAACTCAAGAAATTATAGATTATCCATAGAAAGACTTGTTACACACATACAAATAAATATAAACATACCAAATAAATAATCACGTATAGAAATATTTTATACATATACATAAATTCGATATATAAAGGAGCCAAAACATTATAAACTATACATACGCATAAATTCGAGTATACATATTCCCAAATACACAGAGGCTGCTCTATGTATGAGTGTACAGTAGAGTATAGAGTAAGATTGAAACAGGGTGTAAGGTCCCGTCTTCCTGTCATCTGATATACGTAAAATTTGATGGAAGGCTTTACGGCAGAGGTGATGTTTGCTGCCCTCCCTATACTCTGGTTGTGTGGTTGAGTGTGTGGTTGAGTGTGTGGTTGTTGTGGTTGACTGTGGTTGATGTGGTGGTGAGTGGTTGTTGTTGGCTATGTGTAATTGTGATGATTAACTTAGGTTGAGTGTAGTTGGTTATCCTGTAAATTTTTGGTTGTAAATTCTTTAACCCATAAATTCGTTTGTGTAAAAGAGAATTTAACCTGTAAATTCATAGCCGTGTAAATGAACCCAAAATGAACCGTGTAGAATTATACCTGTAAATTGACTGAACATGTAAATTGACGGCTGTAAAAGAGAGAATTGAACCTGTAAATATAGTGTTTGTAAAAAAGAAAAGTTGTAAATAAAGAAATCTAACTTGAAAACAATGCGTATGTAAAAAAATTAAAACGGAAAATTCTATCCAGTAATTCGCGAGTCTAAGAAAAATAAAAATACTTGTATACTGTATATGAAAAGTGCAGGCGTTCCCCGCAACCTCTCCCTCCCTCCCTCCCTTCTCCCTCCCCCCTTCCTTCTCCTTCCTTCTCCTTCCCTCCCTCCTTCCCCTCCCTCCCTCATTACAACTTTCCTCCTCTTAATTGGCGAAAAAGTTTATGCATTAACTATCAATATTGTACCAAGTTTGTGGCAGCAGTCTCTTTACGCTGACGAATACAGGGTGTCTCAGAAAAATGTATACAAACTACATTACAGATTTTCATGGAGATCGCATGAATGTTTATATCACAACATTTTACATTATCCTCACTTGTTGATGCACGAGGTCTCCCACAAGCAAGGAGAATGTCGATGCTTGTAATAGGATCATTCTAAGCAATCTTCAGGAGAAATCTGTATGGTGCTGTGTATACAATTTTTCTGAGACACCCTGAGTATTTCCACTGTGAGATGGATCTATGTGATGTTGATATTCTGTTTATTTTGGTGAGTGTTAAAGGTGAGGGGGTAGTTGTGCTACAGGTGAATTAATATTAAGGAATGAATGGAGGTGTTTGGGGGGGGGGGCGCTACATGTGAGTGTATAATTAGGAAAATAAATACAAATATGTATCTAAAATGTTAAGTTGATGAGTATTGGTAAATTATGTATTTAAGGGATAGAGATGCACCTTGGTAAGTTGGTAATAACGTCAACAGGTGATAAACGGTTTGTGAGATCAAATTTACTTCACTGTGTCATTTCCAAGTTGAATTATGTTTATCTATCATCGTATTTGTTTATTGTGTTGTCTTCGGCGTAAAAAACCCAACAAAAACAAACAAACGAACAAACAAAAAACAAACATTATTTGTGTGTTTGTGTCCAGGCTCACCCACCTCTGTACTTTCTTCATTATTACCTTATTACTACTACAACCCTCACCATCCTCAGTCATCATCCATCATCCATCTCTCTCTCTCTCTCTCTCTCTCTCTCTCTCTCTCTCTCTCTCTCTCTCTCTCTCTCTCTCTCTCTCTCTCTCTCTCTCTCTCTCTCTCTCTCTCTCTCTCTCTCTCTCTCTCTCTCTCCTGCAGGTCTTGTCACCCCGGCCGATGATTGACAGAACTGGCCAGGTTGTGTGTTTGATGGCTTTACGCGTCATCACCCCTCCCTTCTCTCTCCCACCCTCTTACCTCCCTTCCTTCTCCCCTCTCACACTTCTTATTATTTCCCCTCCCCTTCCCCCATCGTTTCCCTCCTCTCACCTCCCCTCAC